TAAATTAAAAAAAATCAATTCATCTCTTTCTGTTACTATCTTGGTGTTTTACATATATGCTCCATCGACCTCAATAATTTAAAACTTGGGACCTCCATGCAAACACTGACAACTCTACTGTCAAGTTAAGATCTTATAGGCCATACATACTAGTACAAAGGAAAATTATTGATACGAACAGTTATTTAATGATGGAAAATTATTCATACAAACGCCAAAACGCTTTTAAGTGTTATTAAGGGCAGCAGTGCTAAATGACTTACAAGTCAACAAAAAAAAAAAACCTCTGCCAGTGGGGAGTTGGGTCAAATATTTAATGGGCAGTTTTCAGTGGGGAAGAAAGTGCCATCTAAAATGACATGATACCAACTTCGATTTTACTGGAACCTACAGTTTCATCTAAATATAGATATGGGTCAGGTTTTTTAAACTGAAATTAGATTTCTATAAAAATATAAAAACTGTTGCGGTGAGACCGACTTTAGGTGTGTACAGGAATAGAGGAGAATCGAAGAATAATAGAAGTTTTTATTTTTTTCTCCAAATGGACAGACATACATGTTTTCCACCCCACCTGACGCTAAATCGACCTCCTAAAGTTGGTCGATAAAAAACAAGAACTTAGAGACTCAGAGTTCTATCTTATAAACCAATTTAATCGTGAAAAATGATATTGCTAAAATTTTCCATTGGCACAACTTTAGTGAGGGGTTTTGACTACCATGTCGAAAAAGTGCACCTACATGGAGTGGAGGGCGATTTTCTTCACTCCCATTCCCATTGGGATTGCTCTAATATACTGCTTCCTTCTTCATTCGTATACAATCTGTTTTCTATGGTTGTTTTTTTTTTTTCCAGTAATTCTTCTTCATGCACCTAATTAAAGGAGTATCCGAAAGAAAAGTCTAAATCGAACTCTTGCTGGCACGATAAGAAGCATTAAGAATTCCATTAATATTGCGGGTCAAATAGTTCACCTATCTATGTAGGATTTTACTATAAGTAATGATAGATAGTTGCTAGCTTTTACGTACTGAACCCAACATATTTCTCTTTAACTCGATCTGCAGTCTGTTCTATTAGGCCTCACCACAAATTGAATTCCATGCATGGAGCTGTTAGTCTTATCTTCTTACCATCATCTTCTTCTTCTTCTTCCAGTTATCATCTTTTTCACACACTGGCTTCTATTTTCTTCCAAACCAAAAACCCAAACCATGAACCACAGTATCCTTCCACCGGGAAGAATGGGATGGCCACTAATAGGAGAGAATCTTGAGTACATCTTAATGGGAAGAAAAGGAACTCCAGAGAAATTTATTGAAGATAGAATGAACAAGTACTCATCCCAAGTCTTCAAAACTTCTTTGCTGGGAGAAAAGATGGTCATATTTTGTGGCTCCAAGGGAAACAAATTTCTATTCTCCAACGAGTTCACTCTTGTCCAGTCTTGGTGGCCACATTCATTTGATGTTATCTTTCCTGATCTTAAAACCTCCATCAAAGAAGAATCAAAGAAGATGAAAGCTTTCCTCCCAAGATTCCTCAAACCAAATTCGTTACACAAGTACATAGGTACCATGGACCAGATAGCCAAGCAACATTTAAATATGTATTGGGATCACAAAGATAGTGTAGCAGTGTTGCCTCTTGTTAAGAAGTACATATTTTCAGTAACTTGTCGATTGTTTTTGAGCATAGAGAATGAGGACTACATTGCCATGTTCAATGAGCAATTTGAAACTGTCTCAGTCGGGATCCTATCTTTGCCTATAAATTTCCCGGGGACGGCCTATAATCGTGCAATTAAAGCATCAAATTTCGTGCGTAAAGAGTTGCTAGAAAT